GGGAGATAATGAATATTGAGCAGAATTAAGTTCAAGTTATCATTGGTTCGGCCCTCCAACACAGTTCAGGTTTCTCATGTGGCCCCTTGTAAAAATGAATTGCCCACCCCTGGTCTAAAGTCTTGTGGTGAACGCTCCTTTTCTTTTGTGGCTCCTACTTTATGGAATAACCTTCTGCTCCATATTCGAACTGCCTCTTCCTTTTCTGTATCTAAAGGTCAGTTTAGAGCTTATTTGATTGCTCTTGCTTTTGGTTCATGTCAGTTTTTTTCAACTTGCTTGTACTTTTGCTGTCTCAGTGAGGTGCTCACATTTGCTGCCTTAAGTGTTGTTGTTGTGTTTTTATTTATTTTTGTTAAGCACTTTGGCCAACTTCTGTTGACTTTAACAGTGCTATGTATAAATAAATTTGACTTGACTTACATGAGCAGAGGTGCTGTAGTATTTCAGCCACACAGGTGAAGGTGTGTGATTACTGATGAATACAAACTCACAGGACCAAGATTCTCAGGACTGTGTAAAAAGGGTTTTTGTATTAACACAGGACTGGCTGAGAGTCCATATCCTTGTATTCAGTTTCTATAAGGACACAGTTTCCATTTATCTGTAGGCTGTGCTCAGCTGATACATGTTCTACATCGTTCTCTCTTTCTTTTTAGCAGAGCACCTGGTTTTAATCTAGTTGATATATTTACCAACTTGCTATAATTTTGCAGCTTTGACTCCAGACAGAAACAGACTTAGGTGTGAACACGGTGGGTGTCAGGAGGAAAAAAGGCAGTAAAGCCAACAGGGACACTTTCAGGTTTCAGCAGCCAGAGCAAACACATAGAAGGGAGTGGCTGTGTTTGTGTGTGATAGAGACAGAGACAGAGAGAAGGTATGTCATAACCAACCACAACCATGGTGAATGGTTTTTCATACAGTTTGTTGGTAGATTTATAACTGTGGTTTCTTTGTATTTTTGACTGTTAAGCTCCACAACACCAAGGCAAATTCCTTGTGTGGGAAAACCTAGTTGACAATAAACCTATTTCTGATTCCTGAGTCTGATTGAACTCTGCATCATTCAAAAATACAGAGAAATACACGAATACATGAGTGTGCACACTCCCAACTGGATACATGTACTAATAATGTGACTGCAGACAGGTTCAGGGAGGAGCACCCTGCTTCTGTATCAGTGGAGCTTTGTAAAACTACTTCAGTGTCACTTACATGCTCCTGATTTGAAAAGTCTTCTCAACTATATTTTCATGTGCACTAGTGAGGCTGAGCAGTGAGATACAAAAGAAATAGTGAGGGAAGAGTTTTAAGTAGGACACATGAAGGCTGGCTGTCATACTACATAGGGCCTACTCAGCCACATGTGTTCTGTTCTACATGTCTTCAGTTAAGTAACGTGTCTTAAACCTCTTTGATTTGGCCTCTGTTTTAGATTATATGGAAGTAGATCAACTGGACTCTGTTAATGTACTTTTGGGACGTGTAAATAGGTGAACAGCACACTGCAGGCCTACAGCCTTTTGAGGGAGGAAAGTTCTTTGTCAGCAGTTGTATGTGAATTGTGAAAATTCTGAGCACAGTTTAATTTTCTTTGTCTTTCTATTTTTGCAGTTTTTGTTTGTTTATTGTTTTGTTGTGTTGTCCCTTTGCAGTGCCCTGTTGGGCTTTTGGCTGGAAATCTGTGCCTTTCTCTTTGAACAGAGGGTGGATGAACACACTTAACATTTGTCTGCATGTTAGAGGGTGTGATCAGAACATTTATAGAATGAAGTTCATGTTTGAAAATGGCTCAAACCTCTCCACAAAGCTTCAGATATTTATCTGGTAATGTTTGCTGCACTGTTACATGTGATGACTTGAACATTTGACCTGATGAGTTCATGTTTGTGAAGTTGCATTTCATCACCAGCACAATAAAAATGACATTTTGTGACTGGAGCACAAATCTTCAAATACAATTCCTACCACTACAATTTGCAACGCCATTTAAAAAACGATGACCTGCTGGTCAGACGACATGAGTTTTCTTTCTAGCATGTGACATTTGGGACTGATTTTTTTAAACTTCTGCTAAAGTACTTACCATGTAGCCATGACCAAAGCTTTGCCATCGTAATTTTACTGCATCAGGACAGGATATGTTTGAGTTTTTCAGCATGGCTATTCGTGGAGTGCAGCTTGACACAGCCTGGTTACATAATGGTTTTGTGAACAGACATATACAGTAGATTCAAACCCAACTGTTTAAGTGGTGTGCCCACAGCAACAGACTAGTTGTAGAGATGTGAGCTTTGATGGTGTATCGACAGTGTGACTACACAACAGCTTCTGTGGCCGCCTGCCACCAGGTTCCATACCAGTTTTTTCTCTTTATATTTCTGTACACCCTGCCACCCCATTTGGGACTGAGCGGTATAGAAGATGAATGAATGAATGAATTTCTGTACACTTTGTCTTTTTTAAAGCAGTTTCATAACTTTAGTCAGTCCTACACAGTGGAGCCTCCCTGTTAGGTTAGTGGTTAAGACGTGCTCTCGCTGAGCGCTCTGCGCAGGAAAAGATAACATTTTCTCTCCCTGGGCACAGCGGCGGACTTCTAGTCCTTCACAGTGGAAAACTTGGAGAGCTTCCGTTGAATACTTCCTCAGCAGTACTGTACACTGTCAGTGTGTGTAAGGAGGTATGTCTTATGAAGGGAGGGACTAAGGGACTAAGGAGGGACTAAGGAGACATATTTAATTCTCTGCCGGTCACTGAGCTCTTTACACTGGACGATTTACAACAAGATGAACATGTGGATGGCAGGAATCATATGTGAGTAGAACTGTTGACCTGTGATCAACTCATTCAGTTTAATCAAACCTGCTGTAGGAAGCCTTCAGTCTGTTCCTAGATAGCATGCAGCTATGCTGACAAGAAGTCGAACTTGTACTTCAAAGGGGGGGAGTAACTTCCCTTCCTTCCCTTCCGTGGTGGGAGATGCCTCAAGGAAGAAAAGTCAAGAGGACAAAAACACTGGATGACATTTGAATTAAATTTACGTGCTCCGTAAGATTTCGAATCTAGTCATTGGACACGGATTTACGTCCGAATTAATGTGGTCGCATGCGCAACATCGCATAAGCTCAGTATTACTGACAAAGCGTCAAATGTCACGTTACAAAAACGAACGACTCGAAAGTTGTACAGAAACTTTAAAAGATTAGTACAGTCATTCGTTGTTGTAACACGACATGACCGCTTTGTTGGATACAGATATTAGTTAATTCTCAACTGTCCTTACAGTTTTTTTACTCTTACTGTTACGTGATGCATTTATTTTTTATTATAAAATAGCTTTTTATTTCCTACAGACTATAATTTTGTGAATATCTGTCAATATGGTTCTTTTCCATAACACTGTTGATGTTTTAATAAAGAGTTGGTTAATGCTTTAAACTTCATTAAAGTGCCAGAAGGAGGTTACGGTCCGTACAGTGCGCACAGCCTGTTAAAACGTATCGGATGGTTTATATTCACGCTGTTTTGTAGGAACCAAACCATGATAAAATGCCAAAACAGACCCAACGAGTGGTAGTGGGAGGATATATCTTTGTTAAATTATAACTTTTGAGGACATTGTAACGGAGTAAGAAGCCGTATTGTGGCGTGCAAGCAGGCTTTCTTGAGTCCTAACTGCTGGACGTCCGTAAGTGGATATTATATGTAATATTTATCCGTGACAGAGGTCGATTTGTTTCTGCTGCAGGGTTTTATTCAATTATGACCAGCTTAGATTTAAGTATATGTCATTAGGTTATGTCTGTGTATCAGTACATTCTCCGTATAACATAGTAATGTGGGCTATACAAATAAAATAGAGAAAATGATCCACTTTGCAATTATTCTACTGATTCTGTGTTTTTGTGTTATTGACTATAAACCATGTAGTCTTTTCTCCCAGTTTAAGTACCACTAAGGATCCAGTACAAGCAGAAAAATGCCAAAAACTGATTACAGCTAATATTTTGACACAGAAAAGGGTATTCTGTCTTAAAATACCTTCATTTCACTCTTGTGGGTTATATTTTAAAGAGTGTTAATCATACAGTATATCTGTACCACTTTCAGTACCCATAAAAGCCCAGTATAACCAGTAAAATACAGTTTATCATCACCAAAAAGTGATTTAATCTAAAACCTTGATAGTGAAAAGGAGGTTTTCAAACTAACTTTATTTTTAGAATTGATTTTTCTATATCCTGTGCTGTATATTGTTTCTCTCAACATGCATATGCATGCACTAATATAGTTTTAAATACTTTTCTATACCTGTCTTCTTCAGAATACAGGTTTGTCTGTATGTATATTACAAGATCCACATAGTGAATCACAAGTATTTATTTTAAAAAATCAAAGCCATTTGATTGTGGTTTGCTCTAATAAATGTAGTTTAACATCATTAACCGAAAGTTATTTTCGAAGTTATTTATTTTATTGCTACTGAATGTGATGACTAACACCCCTCCCCCCACCTTCCCCCCAGTGGTAGGTGCTGTACCAGGTGGATGGGGTGAAATGAAGAACCTGACAGCAAAGGCTGGAGATAAAGTTACTCTGCCCACTGGACTCACTGGACTAGACGGCGAATATATTCTCTGGTATTTTGGCTCAAACAAGACACGACTCATCCACTGTGATGAGGGAAACATGAGTAAAGAAAATGAAAGCCTGGACCTGGATCTGGACAAAGCTACGGGATCTCTCACCATCTTCAGTATCAAGTACGGTGGCGTTTACACAGCAGAGATCTTCGATAGAAACAACATGAAGCACATTTGCACATTTAATGTAACTGTTTTGGGTGAGTATTTTAAGATGTGTATGTGGGTGACATGTACAAAGGGGTCATCGTTTTCTAAAAAGGTTAAAAAATCTTTCATACATATTTTCTGTGTATCAATAATAAACACGTTCATAAACCTTTGTCATGTCAACTGCAGACTAATGGCTCTCATTCACCAACCGTTCTTAAGAACAAATCTGTTTGTAAAATCCACTTGTGAAGTTTTTCTGAAGCTACTGGCATTCACCAAAGTTTTCTTACCTGGGATTTGCTCTTAGGTAAGAACAGAATCTACACACACTTAGGAACATTTGAGCCCCGACGTGTGAAATAACTGGTTATTTAGTTTTCTTAAGTTCTACAGTTGTATAAGGTTGTAAGATTTAAGTTACAATTACAGTTTTACTAGCAGGGACCTGCCCTCACTCGGTATGAATAGAAGTATAAGAACAGAGAATGCTTGAGAGCTTGACAGTTTTGGGGAAAGCTAACACTACTTAAAAGCCAAACATATAGATTTGTAATTTTTGTTAATTTCTTTGAGCATCTCAGATGTTTTGGCCAGTGTGTAAGCGTTTGGTTGTCCAGCACCTCATCTGAGGTCAGACTCAGGGCAGTTGAAGGGACCTGGTTCACTCAGCTGATGGCAGCCGAGGGATGAATGTCAGGGAAGCTCACATGAATGTGCAACAGCCTGGAGATT